TTTGACATCATTTTCATTGCATAATGATGATTATTTTCGAAAACTAAGATTTCTTCATTACTTTCATTAGTTTTGTACGAATTACTTTTATTTTTGAAATATGAAATTTCAATCATTTTCCAAACGATAAATAATTTGTATGAATTTTTCAGAGAAAAATCGTTTTAATCGATGTCTTTTGAGCAAAATACATCGTTTGTCACGATTGTTCTTAAAAAATTAAACGTGAGAATGATAAATTTGAATCCTTTTTACAAATTATAGTTCTTGCACATAGAAGTCTTGAAAAAACGGACGTTGTAAGGATAGAAAATATGTCATGCCATGATTTTTCTAAGTTTATTAGATATTTTTATACTATCCATCTGACTAGGTAGTTATATCAAAGAAAATGAATTAAAGGTTTTTCTTTTTCATCCTTCTTATCATGTTATTTTCATGCATTTTGAATGATCAATTTTACGCGACATCGTTTTTCCTTAGAAAAACAATTTCATTAAAATGAAGTAAATAACATCATTTTTTGTCATTTTATAAGTCACACCCGCACCCACACCTCCAAGATCAACAATTTTGTGAACACGTTCCATCCAAAGCTTTAGTTTAATTTGTAAAAAACAGTCTATATATTGTATATCTGATGTTAAATCGCGTTACAAGACATGTACATGTTTGTAATGAATTATCAAGATTCCTCATCTTTGAAAAAATCCAACATGTTTTTTTTTTCACAAAATAATTTAGAATATATCGTTCTTTAAAATGAATAAATAAGGCTGAGTTTTTGATGACGCTATACGTCTATTTCATGAGTGTTGTTCGAAATCCCATACTTCAAATCCATAAACTATTATAACATCAGTTTTATCTTGTTATAACGTTGTAGTTATTGAGTGGTCCTTTAACTTTCTTGATTTCAGCATCATAGATTTTTGTTAGTAGAACTAAATAAAATAGGTTTTGTTTTTGTTAAAATCTTTAACAGAAAATAAATCCTCTCCAACTATCTTTGGTATCTATTTCATATGTAGCTATTACTATGCTTTGATATTTTTAATGCACAAACAAGAAAAGAATAAAATTGAATTGTAAGTTATATCACTTGATTGATACTAATAGTCTTTATGATAAAGATATTGATGTTGAATTTATAATTACTATTTGTAATGACTTATCAAGTATAGATGGTAGTTCGAAAGAAACAAAGATTGCTGTTATTGCTGGTAAAATTCGTCGTTGTATATATTCATTATTTTACTTTTTTTCTTGCATTACATATTTCTAAGAAATATTCTATTAATGGATTATCACCATAGTTAATCGCCATTTTCTATTGTAACGTTATTAATTGGTTGTTCTAATATTGGTCTTGACATATTATGTGTTGGAGTATAATAACTTGTTGATGTTGTACTATCATCACTTGATAGTAGTGGCCATGAATATTCAATTGAATTCAATGAAACCATTTTTCTTAATAATGATCATCCTTCTAGTTTATTTGGACGTGTATATGAACTTTTAGCAATAACTGAATCAGTTAATATTAATGTTGGTAACATTTTAACCCAATTCTCTGCATATTATACCTGAAAACGATGTGCAACAGTTAGAATTTGATCAGTTCATTCGTTTGTGTATATAATTAGTTAAGTTTTTACACAAATCATTCCATCTAAAGAATAAAAAAAAGCAAACAATCAATGGACCAAAAAGAATATTTCTCAGTTACAGGAATAGATAATTAAGAAAAAGTGTTTTCTTTTTATAACTACAGACTTGCTTCTTCAAGGTGATGTTGTTGTCGATAGATCATTCTTCCATTTGAAACATGACTTTAGGACATGTTTAGTTCAGTTAGAGAAGATTTAATAGTTATTAATTGATGAGAACAATATAGTATTAGTACTCTTAATATGAACATTTTTTTGACCTCTTTCTACTACTAATATCTGTTTTATACGCATGATTCGATTGTTCAACTAATTACGAAAAAAATGATATCATGACACCAGCTAGCTTTGCAAGAAAAAACTTGAATTAACTAATGAGTAAAAATGAAACTTAATTAACATTAATATTACTTCAAAAGCAGAAAACATCTTAGACAAAAATAGATAAATTCTAGCATCAATCATCAGATGTTTAATCAAAACTAGTGTAAAAGCAAATATTCTGGAACAGTTTCATCATTCCACGGCAAATCATACGTCCACACTCCAAAATGATCAAAAATGTTTTTTTTTTTAATAATTGAAAAATTTTTAAAATTTTGATTCTTTTTCATCTCTATAAGAACAACCTCATATATATGAAAGCATAAAGCATTTCCTTAATTGTTATCTTAATAAGTTATACGAGATCTCCAATATATAGATTGAAATTGAATAGATATAATTAGCGACATTATATTTAATTTATCAAGTAACATATTCGAAGTTGAAGAGTCGTTCTCTTTTGACTAAGAAATCCTCACATCAGTGGTGTTCAAGATTCTCTCGAATACGAAATGCAGTGCGAAGCACGAAATGTGGATATTTCGAAAAAAAAACCCATATTCGATAAAAAACGAGTAATCGATTCTAGGATCAATGTCGTGTTATTTTCGGTGAAGGTGTGTACACGCTTCTATCTCTACAGGAATTTTATCAAAGAGTATCGACATGTTTCTGAAGAGCATTTTTGATTGATAGTTTTAATGATCTCTATAATTCGTTATCTGTTATCAACCGCATTAACAGCTGTTTCACATATGAGCACAGAGAATGGCACATACCTTTTTCTCTATTTTAGTTTTCATTGATTCGAGATTAAAAGAGCGTAAACTCCTTCGTAATTTTGTAATTTTCAGAAGGTAACTCTGAGGAAACCGAAGTTGCTTTAGAGAAGCATTCCAAAGCAACTATTGGTTCGATCTCGATGCTTGGATTTCGCATATCAATGATTATTTTCTGAGGTTTGGTTCTCGAGGCCATTGCGTCACAAAATATGGACGTTGGCTGCGTACACAAAGGACTACATCAATGCTGTACTTCGTACCGCATTGAATATAGAACCACGATACGACGCGTAGAGCTTCTTGACCGCGATTTTTTTCAAACCGCAATATAAAATACCGTGATTATTAAAAGGTATACCTCGGTTACTATCATGGTCACTGCAATTTATTTTAAACGCGACGAGAGAAATCGCAGTTTTACTGACTTCTTTTCGTGGATACTCTTCATGTATTTCTGACTGATGATTATTATTTGAGGATCATTCCTTTAGATCGATTATATCTTTCACATTAATTTGTATGATTGATAATGAATATCAAACAGTCAGTGTGAGAAGATTAACAAATGCGTGTGAATATGACCAAGTATATTGTTGTTTTGAAGACATACTGAACACAGATACTATAAGAAAAGAACAACAATATACGAAAAGATTCAAATCTATTCGTGTTATTTTTCCGGTAGATAATATTTCAATATATCTTCTCAATCTGGATTTTATTCCAGTGATATTTAGTTCTGTGATTGAGAAAATACAGTACCATCTCGCAGAATTTTTTTCACTATGCTTTAACAAAAAGAATTAGAAATTAGATAGAAATAGATAAAAACTTAATTAAGAAGAGAGATTTTAATTTAGAAAAATCTCATCAATGTAATAATGAAAGAACTATACGTCTTTAGTCTTGGTTTGTTTCAAGAAATGAATAATCTCGAAATTGAAACTAAATACCATAGGTTGTTTTTAAATACGAAAATAAAATGTCTTTGGTTTAGTATGCAGCTAAGTATTAATATTCTTCTGAACAATAAATTTGCCTAATTCAATTGTGTTTTATCTCAAATACATTTCTATCTTGGTTGTATATAAATAAATGAGTATTGTTAAATCATTGATCTAACTGCCTATATCGAATAAGTTTATTGTTTTCAACTATGCACATATACAGAGAAAACAGATCAAATTTTTCTTTCAAACATTAGGTACGAAAATTGTTGTGTTTAAAACATTGTATTCTTGATCATCTGAACAAGTTTTTTATGTTCAGCAATAATAACATGTTCCTCATCGGATTGTTTTATATGAAAAAAAGTAAAGGTTAATCAAAAAAATTTTTTTTTTGTATGCCATTTCATTGAATAGAAGTAAACAAAAAGTAAAAATTAGAAATAGTTTTGAAGAAGACAGAATGTATGATGCATTCTCTTCTCTATTTGTTTCTTGTCTAGGTGTTGTTGTAATTGGCATAAAAAACTAGCGTTACCGTTATTTTGATCTGAACAAAGTTGTAAATTTTCATGATTTATATTACAAGCTTGAAGATAAAATTACATGTTTTATTCCATAGATATAAGCTTCAATCATATAATAAGAAAATTGACTGTTTGATATATTATTTATAAGCACTTGTTGATTAATAGTTAACTTATAATTATGAATTGGTCCAGCTTGTTTTAAGGAAGGCGACCAAAATAATGTTAGACGTTTAGAGTTTAATTTAACTGTGATATTTTATGGTGGTGATGGACGTCCATTAGGTGTTCGAATGTAACGTGTGATTGTCTCAATGAACAGAGCCTGTGTTTGATACGTCATCGAAAAATTCCACAGTTTCAACATGGGTGCGATTACTTCTTACTTCGCATTCACATGATACTGATCGACAATCGGTTACGTGAATCATTAATCTTTAAATATTTAGTAGATAAAATACAATAAAATAAAAGGATTTTCTCATCTAATGAAATTAGTCTAAACAAGATTTACAACCTGCAAATTATCTTGAAATAATTCAGTATCGAAATAGTTGATTTGTATTGCGTAAGTAACCGTGATGAATAAAATAAAAATAATCGATTATTGATGTTGCATGTTTCTCTTGTCCATGAGAAAATAAAAGTGTAAAAAAAAAGGCTTCAATTAGTAAGCTTCTTTGATCAGCATACTTTTAATGAAAATGAGAAAGAAAATGTTGTCTATTGACATATAGTACTATGAATCATGGAAAAACTAAAAACAACAAGAAAAAGGTAAATTGAAATTCAAGGAAAAGGAAACGCTTGTTTTAAATAGGTCAGTATAAGATTTAATATTAAGTGAATTGAATAAATACAGTAGATGCTTAACTCAATGTGATGCACTCAATGACAGAAAATAAATCACTTAATTTACAATCATGTTTTTTCTAGTAAGACGCTCATAAAATGAGAGAAAAATAAAAATAATAAAATCTTTATAGGAGAATAATAAAAGAAAAATATCATTCATTAGGATTGAATCTTACTGTAAAAGAAGCAGTTGTCTGTGCTTAAATGATCATACATTCTTTGGTGTTTGTCGATAGATGACTAATTCGCATAACTATAAATTTTATTTGTCATTGGCAGAATAAGTCGAATAAAATGTGAATATATATTCAGAGTGTCACAAGAATCCAAATGAAAAACTTGTAGTGAGTAGCTCCTCAATAATTGACGAGAATTATATATCTTTTTTTAAGCTTTCAGATAAAATATGTATGTGTACGGAAGGAAGAATTAAAATAGTTTTCCCGATGACAAAAATTCATGCTAGTTATCATTGTAAAAGGAAAGCTGTAAGTTGAGTTCGGTTTGACTGTAATGTTTTCATAAAATAAAGAAAAAATGCCACTTTTTATATCACCTTATATATATATATATTTACAGATTTATTTATGTTATGATAAAGAAAAAAAAAGTTTGTCTAAATTATTTTAATATATAATTGAATTGAATAAGAGGAAACAAAAAATTAAAATTAGAAAAAGCTTTGAAGAACATAGACTACATGAGGCGTTCTTCTGTGTACTTGTTTCTTGTGTAGATGTTGTTGTTGTCATTGGCATATAAAAGGTAGCCATACTATCATTTGGATGCGAACATAGTGACTGATTTTGATAATTTATATTACAAGCTTGAAGATAAAATACATGTTTTTGTCCATAAATATAATCTTCTGTCATATTATAAGAGAATTGAATGTTCGATATATTATTACTTAGCACTTGTCTATTTAAAATTAATTTATAATGATTAATTGATCCAGCTGGTAATAAAGGAAATGACCAGAATAAAGTGAGATGTTTAGAATTTAATTGCACTGTAATATTTTGTGGTGCTGATGGATATCCATTATCTGTTCGAATATAACGTGTGATTGTCTCATTACTTCCAATACAGTTTAAAGTAAATGAATATAATGTATCTGGTTGAAGATCACCAACGTCAGCAGAGCCTATATTTGGCTTGTTAGACATAAATTCTACAGGATAAGCATCATTATCATTGTCATCGGTGGAATTACTTCTTACTTCACAGTCGCAAGATGGTGGTGGACAATCTGTCACATTAGACCATAATCTTTCAAAATTCAGTATATAAAACATGAGAAAACAAAAGGATTCACTTACTGAATAAGTTCAGGAAAAATACTAGTTTGAACGATCCAATCTTCTACATACGATTCAAGACTGAAATAGTCTATTTGTGTTGCACAAGTAACTGTAATGAATAAAATAAAAATCATCAATCAACGTTGTTGCATATTTCTCTTGTCTGTTAGAAAACAAAAGTGAAAAAATTTTCACTTAGTAGGCTTCCTTTATATGCACTTTTTTAATGATAATTAAAGAGAAAAGATTTGCTATTGATATAAAACAACATGAATCATTGAAAAACTAAAAATAATAAGAGATAGATAAATTGACATTAGAGGAAAAGGAAATGCTTGCTTGAAATCGATCAGTATCAGGTTTTATATTAACTAAGATGCATAAATACAACAGATGCTTAGCTCAGTGTGATACACTTAACGTCAAAACTAACTCGATAAACTCCATCTGAAAATAGATTATATATATTCTATAAAGTAGTAACTGTTTAACCGAGCCTGACAAGCTATCCTATTTTATTTACAACCATGTTTTTTTTAGAAGGCGTATGATAAGATGAAAGAAAAAGACAAAAAAATCTGGATAGAGTGTCCAGAAAGTCTTTAACCTGAGAAAAATTTAAATATCTCTGCACAAGATTTTGATACAATTGGTTGATATTTTTATCACTGATACAGGAGTGTTCATAGCTCATATTCACAAAGGAAGCATTAATAAACCTTATTTCGAAGCATCACAACTGACTTCGACAAAGAACTATATCCATTCACGGATTATGAATAGAAAAACAATATGACACTTTTCTCACTCAATGCATTCTATTAATTATTGAAACTTTCCATGTACAAACAGTAGCAAGACATGTATCTGCTGTATATATTTGAGACGAAATGATTCGTGAAAAGTTATAGATCTTTATTGAAGTGAATTGAGATGCTTCAAAATAAGTTTTGTTAAGGCTTCTTCTGTGGATATGAGCTGTAAACACTCCTCTATCAGTAGTAAAAATATCAGTCCATGAGGTTAAAATATTGCAAAGATTTTTAAATTTTTCTTTCGTTCAACACTTTCTTGACATCCCATATAGAAGAACAATAGGAAAAATGTGACAGAGTTTTTACCTATATCTCATTCGATACGAAACTTTTCAGTTTTATTTTTTCTAATGCTATTACCAACAGAAAACCAAAATATACGAAGATAGCAGACATGATCGACTTCATAAAATGAGTCTATGTAGCCGCTAGTATGAAAATGAGAACGAACTAAGGATTGATTAAAGACTGTATCTCAATATATTAATTGATAAAGTGTATGATGGATTTTCAACAGTGATACTATGTGACTTCAAATCTCAATCGAAACTCATTATGATTTTTCGAATGTAGAACAAAGAAATATCAAGTATCAAATAAATTGCTGAAAAGAAAACAAAACAAAAAAAAAGAGAAATGTTTATCTTGAGCTTCATCTATAAAGAATGTTCGATTAAAATGGAAAAATGCAGATAGAAATTGCATGATAAAAGATTTCTGAACACTCACATACTTATTATGAATGTTTTTCATAGTTTCATACAACTTTCTTCGAAATATTTTGAAGTTCATTTTTCTTTTGCAGAGGATTTTTAAAATTGGAAATCAACTAGTATAAATATGGTGTTGAAATAAATCAAGAATATGTTATATGAACTAATAGTTATTTTGTGAAGCAGTAATATGAACGTTATTTAATTTTCGAGTAACATTTGTATTGAACTTCATTTTTGGCTTCTCTTTTTCTTATATATTTTTACTATTTTATAATCATTAAAATAGTATTTACTTAAAAACTATAAACTTTGCTATAGGTTAATTTTTTTGTTTGTTATTTATGAAAAGTGTGTTTTTGTTATATTTATTTAATAAACTGTTATTTAAAAAAAAGACTATAAATTCGAGGAGAGGAAGGTTTTACTGAAAGTGTTTTTTTTATACCAAATCATCCAGGAGACGAGAAAGAAGTGAAAAACGCAATGTTTACCTTACTGTTTTAATGAATCAAGAAAACAAATCACTAAGTATACCATCATAATGTTTTCCACGAGCGAACTTCCAAAAAAACAAATTTCATCTTCGTGAGGTGTATTGTTCTAAGTATAAACAAAAAATCAAAATAATTTTTGTTCGGAAAGAAGAAATTTACAGAAATGTGAGCTTTTTTGAATGGTTCTTTCAGTTGAGTAGATTACCACCAGTTTCTATTCTTGTAAAGTCGTTACAGTTCAACTAAATGAAATCAAAACTTTATTTAGTTTGAACATATTTATAGATCTAATAAAATATTGTAAAATTTAGAAGTATTGCTAATTATAATAATAAATACTATGCATTATGGTACTCTTTCGAAGGCTATTTCGATGAGTTTTCAACAGCTGAGTAAGATATTCTAAACGAAAATATTCTTCATATCTGCATCGAATGACCCATAGGAAGTTCTCAAGTTTCGGTCAAATGAAATGTTTTTATTCTAGACATTGGTTTGCAAGTACAGCCCATATTACATACGTATTTCAGCAAAACCGATTTTTCCTAAAAATCTTATATTTGAAGAAGCAAGAGTTGTATTTGATCAAAACTTTCAGAATATTCTTATGGTTATTACGTATATATTTGAACAAAATTTTAAATTGAAATCTGATCATTAGATGTTTGATTTCAATATCTTGTTTATATCGTGAAAACTCATTAAAATACCTATAACTTTCGATAGAATGTCAAAGCGCTCTTGAGAGTTACAGTGTTTCACTATTCTGACTGAGATGTATTAATGGGCAAAGAAATATCAATTCAAGACTTTCTCGCATAAGTCGTATATTTCAATGTGTCTTACTCTCAATATCAAAACATAAGCAATCTAAGTAATGATAATTTTTTTGTAATCACATGTATCAATAGACAAGGAATATCACATTTTGCATCATTTTATAATTATAGTCATTTATTTATTTATTTTATGTTAAAAAAAAATAAAGGTTAATCTTAATTATTTTAATATATCATTCAATTAAATAGAAAGAAACAAAAGATGAAAATTAGAAAAATCTTTGAAGAACATAGACTACTACATGAGGCGTTCTTTGGTGTATTTGTTACTTGTGTAGATGTCGTTGTCATTGACATAATAAAACTAGTTTCACCATCATTTGGATTTGAACATTCTGATATATTTTGACGATTTATATTACAAGCTAGCAGATAAAATACATGTTTTTGTCCATAAATATAATCTTCTTTCATATTATAAGAGAATTGACTGTTTGGTATATTATCTATAGCTGGAGATTGATCAATAATTAATCTATAATTATTAACGGGTCCAGCTGGTTTTAACGGAGGTGACCAGAATAATGTGAGACGTTTAGAGTTTAGTATAACTGTAATATTTTGTGGTGCTGATGGACGACCATAATCTGTACGATTGTAACGTGTCATTGTTTGATCAGTTCCAACACAACTTAAAGTAAATGAATATAATGTATCTGGTTGAAGATCATCAACGTCAGCAGCGCCTATATTTGGCTTGTCAGGCAAAAATTTTACAGGATAAACATCATGATCACTAGTGACATTAGCTATTACTTGACATTGACAAGATGGTGGTGGACAATCTGTTACATTAGTCCATAATCTAGAAATTTTTATTAGATAAATTATAAGAATGACAAAAGATCACTTACTGAATTAAATTAGCAAAAATAGTGATTGGATCTGGAAGAATTGATAAAATTGCTTCAGGCTCAAAATAATTGATCTGTGTTCCGTACGTAACTGTAATGAACAAAACAAAAATAATCAATTGTCGTTGTTGCATATTTTTTTCGTGTTTGTTAGAAAAAAAAACTGAAAGAATGTTTACTGAGTAAGTTACTTTTATCAGTACACTTTTAATGATAAAGAGAGAAGTTTTTCTATTGACATAAAACACAATGAATCATTGAAAGAATGAAAAACAATAAGAGAGTAATTGACATTGGAGAAAAAAAAAATGGATATGCATATTTAAATTAGATAATATCTACTTTTATATTAAGTCAATGAGAAAAATACAGCAGATATGTTAGTTCTGTGTCACACACTTGATGACAAAAAAATAACTCCATAAAGTTTATCTGGAAATAGATTTTTATTTGTTCTATGAAGTAATAATTCTCTAATCTACCTTGATAAATCATCGTACTTAATTTGTATTCATTTTTCTTCTCGTAGGCGCATCACAAGATAGGAAGAAAAAGAAAAAAAAAGAACAAGTTCATATAGAAGAATGGCAAAAAAAAATGTCGTTCAATATGAGTGAATATTACTGTAAAGGAAGCGGTCGTCACTACACAAATGATGATGTATTATTGTACACTCGGTGAGAGACGAAGAATTCACACAACTATGAACTCTATCTCTCAAGAGCAGAACGAGCAGAATAACATACAGATATGTATGTATACATATATATATATATGCATATATACTTGTACATATATGTACTTCTCTCATTCTTTGATATGAATATCATAAAGAAGTAATATTCTTATCTTATATTTGAAACAGTGTGTGAATAGTTTTGACCATCGTTAATAAATTTAAACCAATGAGTATTTATCGCAATGTTAAATGTGTTGTAGTAGGAGATGGTGCTGTGGGCAAAACTTGTCTACTTATGTCATATACTACAAATGCTTTGTAAGTTTTCTTTTTGTTGCCTTAAGTTTGTTTTATTTTATATACTTGTTTCTAGCCCAGGAGAATACATCCCAACAGTGTAAGTTAAATAAATCTGAATATTCATCAATTTCTACTATCTCATTAAATAGATTCGATAATTATTCAGCAAACATAATGGTTGATAATGAACCTGTCAATCTTGGTTTATGGGATACGGTAATGATTGTTGTGATATTTTATTTTTAATTATATATCATTGATTTTTTTTGCTTTTAGGCTGGTCAAGAAGGTATATGCTTATCAAATAAAATAAAATTATAAAATAATTCTTAGTTGTTGTTTTTTGTTATTGTTATTAGATTACGATCGTCTTCGACCATTATCCTATCCTCAAACTGATGTATTTCTTATTTGTTACAGTGTAATTAATCCAATATCATTTGATAATGTTCGTGCAAAATGGTTACCAGAAATAAAAAATAATAATGTGGATATACCAATTGTTCTCGTTGGTACAAAATTAGATTTACTCGATGATAAAAATACAATAAATAAACTTTTAGTAAAAGAAAATTTTTAAGTTTTTTGAAATATTTTGTTTTTATATTTATATTAAATAGGCTCGAAAATTAACACCAATTAGTACACAAAAAGGTTTAATGATGGCAGAAGAAATTGGTGCTGTTGCTTTTATGGAATGTTCAGCATTAACACAAAAAAATTTAATACGAGTTTTTGATATTGCTATACGAGCTGGTTTAGGAAAATATCCAAAAATGAAACAACGTAAAAGACATCAATGCATTTTATGTTAATATTATGTATACTTTTTCAAGAATATTTTTTTTTTGAGTTTATGTATTATCTGGATATCTTTGAAGTGTTTAAATATTAAAAAGAAGATTCTTTCTCTTCCTATGAAAACAAAGATTAATAATACAGTCAAAATTTACAATATTAATAGTATCTGTAAGCCACTTTAATTTGATATAATGGAAAGTTAATTTACAAGTTATAACAAAAAAAAAAAAGATATTGGACTTATTTAATTCTACGTGTTTTTTGCTTCAGTTAGAATGAATGTGATGATGTCATAGTAAGTTCTTATTCGATTAATCGTTTGAGATCTTTAAGATATGAATAAATGAAGTGTAAACTTTGTTTATGTCTAGATAAATAAGCTAATTTGAAGTAATTCTTTGCCAAGTATTGATTATTTATAAACACTAATTTGCACGACAGAGACAAACTAATCAAATCAAATTCGTAGGCTTCCATAGAAATAAAAATGCTTATGTTTGAAGATCTGCAATTAGAAATAATACGATCATTTTACTAGAGATCAGAATGAATGGTCGCGTTTTATATTTTGTTTTAGTTTTCATCATCTAATATATTTTATTGAAAAACAAAATATATGCATCCTTACTTTTCAACATGGACAAAGTTCTGTATGACCAATTTTTGATGATGGGAACAATATCATTTGTCGGCACACGGAGAATTCCTTTTCTTATTTCATCAATTAATGAATGATAGCTTCTAACTTTGTTGTCTTGCTCAAGTTTCGTAATTATTAAGCAATTTGAATCGATGTCATGCCATCATCAATCATTCGCATAACCACTTATCGTATATATTCATACGTCATTTCTTTGGGTTGAGTGATACATTTATACAGATGTGATTTGTTATTATGAAGTTCGTACGTCTCTCTAACAAATAACGTCAAGGTGAACAAAATATAATCAATATACATATCAATAGATCTAAACTTCAGCCATCGATTGTGACCTTCGGTATGCGTTACTAATCACAGAAATAAGAAAACAACTTCATCGTCTACCAGAAAAAAAAAAATAAAAACTTCTCCCAGTATCGAAATTGGGACAGACAGAATTCTTGTCTATTTTTGAGTACTAAAGTTGTATATATAAAATAATCTTTTTATTGTAGCATATTTCATGGTACATCATTATGTTCTATTACATCAGTTTAATCAATAGTTATTCTGAATACATTATATACTAAAAAAAAATCGTGAAAACCAAGCTTTGGTTAATAGTGAAAGTTTAATTTTTAACTTATGTTCGTGACATTGTCTACTTTACTACAGTCGAAATCGATCGAGTTGACCTTTTGATATGTTTTTCTTTGATTATGATGATCAGTTTATGTGTAGGCTAGTCTTATTTTATGGCATAACAAAAACATGAATGATGCATCGCTTTTTTTATTTGATCGTGTTTCGTCCATAGATACAGCTGACAATGATTTTCCTTCATAATTTATATGTTCAAGATAGCTTATTGTTATATTGCAATCTATTACTTAGACATGAACAAGAACATTCTATTTGTATGTAAATCGACCAAAAAGCTGCATCTATGTCTAATCATTGAATTGATGTTACTTTGCGATATGTATCGAACATTATAGCCAGTCAAGTCCGTTGAACTCAAGGTCAATTTACTCAAGTTTAGTAATCGAACATTTAATCCATGTTTATTTGTTTACATGTCAGCAAATGTTTTGTTGTAAAATACGAATTCTGATGTATTATTTAATATATTTCTTTGCTTATATTAACACTTAGAAAAGCCAATTCTTTGAAAAAAAAAATAAAAAATAAAGTTTTTGTCATAGAAAGACACACCGAAGTCCTGTCCTTCTGAATAAATATGGTTTTGTTGCAAAATAGTCAAATTTAAATTGACTTATTGGAGAAGATTTAGATCCTAATGTCTCGTGTTTACCCAGACAGTTTTGCCCACATGGTTCACAATATAACCAAAATTTTGTTATTATGAAACTTTAAGTAAGCGTAAATTTTTGTTAGGTCGCTTCTTTTTTTTTTATATTTAAACTGTATGTGGAGGCAAGTAGGATTTCGTATTGTAGAGAGTCACTTTTTTCTTATAGGTTTATTTTAACTCTAAGTCTATTATAATAGTGATAGAAAATGAACGAAATCAAATTTCAAAATTTCGCTTAAACAAAAGTTGAGCATAGATATCAGCTTTCGTTTGAAATCACTTTAAGTTAGACAGGATTGAGATAAAAAAAGAGAGAATGGTTGGCACTTCTGCCAACAACCACATTTGCCTGTAGAACTAGATTTTTTACATAAGGAATAGGTTTTGAGCTTTGATAGTTAGACAAGAGAGAGCACACTTGCTTTTTTTTCTGTTACGAAAGGCAATGCTTCTTCAGAGCAATAGAAATTCTTCATAAGATTTATATTGTCAAAGGAATGAGTGAGGTAGCGACATCTTCATGGTTTTTTTTAATGAACAATGTCGTCATAATAGAAATATTTAACATTGAAAATTTTCTCTCCTGCGTAGCCACACATAAAAACACTTGAGATATATCTTCTTTTTCACTGTGCAAAACAGAATAAAACTGTTACCTGGCGATGCGGATTGACGCGATGTATATGTTCTTGTTCTTTTACATCCGAGCTCAACAGGATAACAAAAGATAAATAGAGAATAATCAACAGATTCACAATACAAAAAAACAATCAGTAAATCCATCTTTAAATTTTGTTGAATGCTGATCGACACTTGTTGCATCAATTACTATTTACTCAAGATTTACATGATAGTCAGTTGTAATAATAATGATCGAAACAAAAAGAAACCACAATCATTTGTTATTGTAATCAGCATGCTGTTTCTCTTTGTTCTATTGTCACTCTATATTTTAACACGAACAGCTCAGATTGATCGAAAAGATTTCACGACTACTTTTACTACGAACAAGTGAATAGTTTCATAAAACTGTTGATGTATAAACAATTTCAAGATCAATTTAGGTTGCCATGGAATGGCTCTGTGCTCGACTATCGTATGATGCCTTATGTTGGTAATGGCCATGTGGCCACTGTTGTCTTTAGTGATTTTATCTATATGAATGGTCTCTACAATGGTGAAAATGGTCAGCTAGTTTCTTTTTCACTTTTCAAATTTTAACTTGTCTAAGATAGGTACAAGTCATCGAGCTCGAATTCCAAGTACACTCAATTGGCAATTTTTGATTCATCCATCATCATCTTCATTTACACTTAATGTTTCATCAGGTACAAATTTTTATTACTAAAAAATGATTACTAGCCTAATTTAGGTACATTTACTGAAACACTCGAAAATGATGAAGTTCGAATTGAACAACATATTTTCGCATCACAAGAATACACTGAATTGTTAATCTCACATGTTGTACTCACTCGAAGAGCGCTGAATGGTCAGATTATCGATGTAAAAGAATGCTGCTCGAATTCTTTTTCTCTGTAGGACATAAAATTGTCGTACCCACCAGAGTAAACGAACAAGTGACTAGTGATGATATCGACTTCGTAGTCTCAGCTCGCAATAATCAATATGTGTGAGTATTAGATTTACTCTTTCAAAAAAAGAAAAACGTTTGACTATCTTTTTGCTTTAAATAAGACTCCTCTCTGGCAAGACTCGTCAAGTGGAGAATAATCAATTTCAACAGGAACCACTATCTGTATTTGTTTATTACACACCATTACCCGTAAACGGTTTTGAACTTAATCCACAAGAAACAAGTCGAACATATCTTTTTGTTACTTCAATCGACAATGAACAAGCAAGAGCTAAACGAAGTTTTGACTATGGTAGGTCAAAAACAGTATTTGTTCATTTGTTCAAATGAGTGAAATCGAAAATACGTCGTATACAAAACTCAAGTACCAATTTGTCTATTCTCAATCAATTACTATAAGCTATCTGAAAATGATTTCTTGTAAATATCGAGCAATCTATTCGAAGCTTATCGTGAAGAGTTGATTAATTTACATCCAAAATGAACTCTTTTATTGATATAATTTTAAAAAATCTTTGCATTTAGAACATTCAAAAATCTGTATTTCATATGGATCAGCAATCAGCTAAGTATGAAGTGTGTTATTTATATGGACCTATCTTTTTTCTTCAAGTAATATTCAATAGTGTAGAGAAATTTCCGATTAATCTAGCGAAATATAACATTTCCATAACAAATCAATTCAGAGTTGCGAGTATGATTACGAAAATGAAGTAACAATTTTAGTACCAGAATTAGAGAACACAAACTTTCATCGACGTAAAGTTTTTATCATTCGAAACAAAACTTGAAAAACATCGATTTTGACCACGCTGAATCAGTTCTATGTCAAGTAAAAAAAAAACATGAAATCACCACATCATGTTTTATAATTCCTGTCGGTTATTTGTTGTACGAAACCGAAATACAGTCAAAAATTCCATTCAAAGTGTTTTTAGAGCAATTAGAGGTTACCTCGCAGATTGTGGAACTGTCAATACAACACACGAAAATTCTACGTTAACAAAAACTAGAGCTGCTTGTGCTCTCAAGTCAATAATTGTAAAATGGAATGTACAGAATTTTGAAGTAAATAGCAATGACTATGACAAACATTTGTATATTATTTCTATACTTCCGTGTCGCCCTTTTATATAAAAGTACACTTATTTTTATTTTTTCATGATACTCTTTCATAGTTCTTCGAATTTTGTTCTACTTGCTTTCGGTATATTTTATCTCATTTCACATTTGCACATTCTTGTCATAATGGAGATGTTTCTTGTGACTAGCTTCCAATGAACGCCATCCAGATCAGGTATGGTCGACCCATGCATCTCTATGGAATGATATTTGGGCAAATGGACGTATTGAAGTTAATGGCGACGATGAATTGCAACGACAAATCAACGCTGCTTACTATTACATACTCAGTTCTATTCCACCACTGTCCACTAGAAGTGAACACAAACAATTCTATGGTCTTAGTCCAGGAAGTCTTTCACGCGGCGGTCTTGTATTCAAAGATTACGCTGGTCATTCCTTTTGGGATACTGAAACCTGGATGTATCCGTCGATTCTTCTGTTCTATCCCACGTATGAAATAAAATCTTCCTATGAAATATTTAAAGAAAAGCTTGTAAGACGGCCTAACTCTTTCTTTGAGTTATCACTCTTCATTTCTTTCGTGTGAAAATAGGGTTGATACATGCAAAAAACTGTCATTGACAAATAGAAAATCTTAGAACTCGCGTCCACCATTCATAGAACTTTTAATAATTTATCTCTCTTTCTCTTAGCTTGGCCAAAGAAATACTTTCATATCGAATAGCTCTAGGTGATTCAGCTGCCGAAAATGCCCGCTTACTTGGTTATGAAGGCTGGAGGTAGAATAGAATTTATATTTTTCTTATAATTGCAATTTCCGATTACTAAGATTCCCATGGGAGAGTGCACGAACCGGAGTTGACGTTACACCCGATGGCTATCTTGACATTGCTCTCTATCAACATCACATCACTGGTGACATCGCATTTGCTGCAAGACAATATATAGCTGCGACAGGTGATCAAAGATGGTTGATATCTGAACATGGTGGAGATCTCATCTATGAGATAGCTCGATTGTGGGCATCGAGAGTTGTATACAGTAATGAGAAGAAACAATATGAAATATTGAGTAAGTTTTATCTGTTCTGGATATGTGTTTCATATTGATTTTATGCAGCTGTATTGCCACCTGATGAAGATGCACGACCGTTCAAAAACAATTCTGTATTTACGAATGCAGTTGCTTCATATTCCATTCAATTGGCTGATCGAGTCAGTTGTATCACCAGAAAATCTGTACCTCAAACTTGGCTCGATATTGCATTCAATTTATATTTTCCTTTTGATAATGCAACACAAACTCATCTTGAATATGACGGATTCGATTTGAGTAAGTCATTGTATACGACACATATATTTCTTTATTTTTTTTTCTCTAAAATAACATCATACAGAGAACACAATTATTAAACAAGCTGATGTTGTCCTTCTTGGATTTCCTCTAATGTGGCCAATGAGTAAAGAAATACGACGTAATGATCTATTGTCCTATGAACCATTAACTCGTGATACAGGACCGGCAATGACATGGTCAATGCATACAATTGGATTTCTTGAATTGAATGAGTTTGAAAAAGCTCGACAAATGTTTCGACGTGCTTATGAAATATATGTTCGACCACCGTTTAATGTTAGTCGACTTCTCTCTTCAATTTGATCAATTCCATCTTGTATTTTAGGTATGGACTGAGGCTCAGGATGGTATAGGTGCTGTCAATTTCATAACAGGTGCTGGGGGCTTCTTGCAAGCTATTCTTTTCGGTTACGGTGGTATTCGTCTCACATTAGATCAGCTTGAAGTGATGCCGCCATCTTGTTTGCCCAATCAAGCTAAAAAACTTATTTTTCATGGTCTGAAATATCATGGAGCAATACTCGATTTGACAATTGAAAATCAGCGATATCACCTTGATATACGTATAATGAATAATAATAACTCCATGCCACTTGTGTACGAATACGAACAGCAGCAAGTTCCACTAACAAACAATACTCGTCTCTCATACCAAATTGGCACTCGTCTTATTATTCGCCCATCAATACGATTGTGTGCTTGACTAGTTTTTTCTATTGCCTTTATATTCTAATAAAACTTTTCTTTTCGCATATGGAATAAAATTTGGCGAGACTTCACTAATCATGGACAACGTCCTCGGATAATTTCTGATAGACAAATGACGTGATAGATGAGCTGATATGATTGTTTAACAATTCATTATAAAAAAAGAACTAATTGAAAAACGACAGATGGGTTCATGGGTGGATGGCTAGATGTTATTGAGAGTCTTATTGTCATCTATATACCTTGTCCGCACGAATTCATGCTGAATTAGATGAACAAAATCGAAAAGCCTCAGCAAGAAATCTATTAAGTCAGTGAGGGGTGGGTGTTACTGTAGATTGTAGCTATTAGGTGCTGATATGGATGTTGTGTCGGCCTGGGTTTCAGATTAGCACCGAAGATAGTTGTGGTTGTGTCTTTGAATGTGTGATGACGCTGTTGGTTTCTTTATTTTTGACAGTTACAGTAAGAGCTACATCGCGTTTGCATTTTAGCATTTAAATATTTCGACTTGCAACATTTTTCAGAAGAATCAAAAACAGATCGAACAACATAAGAACAGAGAATTGATCCTATGTATTTATAGTAAGTTAAAGTCTAAGTTTTATTGAAATTTGGTTGAGTTTTTGAAATTTATATAGCTCGCAAGTATGTTCGATTGAAATCTAGTTGGTTTAGTAAGTTCTGATAAAAAAAAGACTCTTTAGACTTATGTTTATTTATTGTCCAATCTGACCTAGCTCATAGATAATATTTTAATTTACAAATATCATGTTGTTAAATTTTATTGATTTATATTCCAGAGAAAATCAATAAAAAATCAGTTAGCTTATTTGTTTCGTGTAATAGACTAATAAATGTTTTCTCTCAGAATTTAATGTGTAGCACATTGATATACTCATTTACTTGCCTATAATAATATTTTCGAACATCATTTCTGGATGTGCGCGCAGCAGGTATTCATGCACATATTAGACTATGAATCAGTGGAAATGAGAATGCGAAGTTATTTTTGAGTCAGAATAATCTTTTATTCGCTTATCACCTGATTAAAAACGAAACTAGCCTAACAACAGATGACTGTGTACTATCAAGTAAAAAGATTGATCATATTCGGATCAACTTAATGATCTCATTGCCAAATTAACCAAGGTACAAGATGAACTGCGAATAGCGTACAAAAAATACGGTTGCAAATTTTGGATGGGGGACACATGACAGACAAAGTATCTTGAAATTTGACTATCTATGTTAGTATACGTTATGCGCAGCTCATATTTTACCTTAGTTACTTTGGTAGTAAGATCATCAATTTGTTCCAAATATGGTTAAACTCCTTAACTTGAAGTACATGATCTTCTCTTTGAAGATTTTTGTTATCTAAGATTTTATTTATCCTGTGGCGCACATATATGCTGAACTAAATAAATCAAGATAAATCCAACAGCAGTAAGAACTTATTTATTTTGTAATCTTTTACTTATTTGAATTCAATTTCATTCTATTCTAACGAGTCTATGGTGTTTTTGAATGCAAACTGAGTTTGGGAAAAAATGACGTTCGATTTTTTGCAAATATCATTCTACTCTTCATTCCATCGATTCAAGTACTATATTAGTCTGCTATAGACATTGATTTTATCGCTCAGTAACTTAACCAGCATACGATTCTTTCTCTCTACGAGTTTTGATATATACTACGGAGTTTTGCTTAAAATTAGAATACAAACAGTTCAGGTTTTCTTATGTCCGTCAGAATCGGATTCTACTACATCAAAAAAACGATCGCTCTATTGATGAAAACTCGCAATAAGATCTATTCCCTGAGTGAACAGCTCGAAAATGCACTAATGAGACTAAAAAGTTACAAACCACAGGGTTTCAAAACGATATAAGCATTGATATTACTTACGTGCCATTTCTCGTTCCGATGGAAACGTATCTAATAATTTTTGGTTTCCTCCTCACACAGTTGTTAGAGCCTGGAGTTATCCGTAATGGGGCCCAAGTAGCGGGGGCCGCAAACTTCAACTTAACATTTACACTCATTATTTTCTTCGAAACTATGTGTGAGTTCCACAAAAAACTATGTATATATATATGTATAGTTATATAAATAATTCTAAAGACACTCATATACATATGTATTTGTATGAATAATTATAAACACTCCATAGACTCTCATTTCAATTAGAAATCGGATATCGTTTTTTTGTATTAGAGTACACATGAAAGGAAATAAGATCAGGTGTGAGTGTGGCTATCGATAGGTTGGTGTGTTCTACTGGGTCACGCACTCATCGTCACGAGTAAATATTTCAAAACTAAACATATCAATCTTAAGAATTTGATGAATTTTGAACATGTTAAGACGGCTCTTTTTCATTTCTTTGCTCAAATTGTTGCAAATTGAATTTTTTTCATTGTTCTTGTCAGTGAATCATTTCTTTTCACTTCACTTCCACTTGTCTTTTCTTTTTATATCAGTATTTAATTCTCCTTCTTCATGTTTTACTTTTCATTTAAATCGCATCTTGCTATTTACAGGTATTTTTCTTATGTCAATGGGTGGATTGTTTCTTCTTCAGTATAGTTAACTAGAATTTAGCTCAGTTGATATTTCTAGACATTCGAATTTTAAAAAAAAGATCTGTACTAAGACAAAGCATAAATTCTTTACTTCGAGTAGGTAAAAAATTCGATTTTTCCTAAGTAATTTAAACAATAGAACAGTTCGATTTTCTATTTTGATGAGATCTGCGAATAAAGATGTTTTTGAAAAGAAGACTAATATTCACAAGCACCAACATTCTAAATCTATATCCACGCACATCTTTATGCGTACGAATCAATTAAAATGAATTTTTAACAACTTGAATTTTAACAAAAAGTTTTGTCGATTTCAGCATGTGCGTTGATAAGACTTCCGGATGTTAGTGAAATCCTTCTTTTTACAAATACTCTTGTTTCTACACTAACACCAATACCTTAAATCTGAAGGTAACGTTCAATAACAGATATTTATTCAAAAAAGCAAGATGGATAGGGATGAGAACGTATAAACTACCCCAAAAAGAAATCTTGAAAGATCAATGCAGATGACATATAAAAGAACTAGGAAACAGAAAAGAGAAATTATCTTATTAGAAAATCCTCGAAGAAAAAAAATCTATGAATTCATACATAGCCATATCACCATAGAAAAAAATTAATCTGTTTTAGATATTCGTCCTTAACGTTAGTTAGAAATTACATAGTAGTGATAATTTTTACTTGGCGATTTTGTTTTATAACCATGATTTCAATTTATTAATTTAGTAACAACAAGTTTTACTTACATATTAATTATCTAACTTAGCAAATATTTTTATAACTGAAAAGCTATAAATTAACTGAGCGTTCAATATTTTTTCTCTTAGCAGTCAATTTATTTATTGAGCAAATACAAATTTTACTTGGCAAAAGTCAATTAAGCTATTTTAATAATGTTACGTAACAAATAAATTGATGCCTTTTATTATCTTTTAATATATTCAAAACGATACAATAAAACTTTTTTCATAATTCAAATGAGAATAAATTAAATGAATACAAGAAAATTTTAATAATATAGTTTGAAATAGTTTTGACAGTTAATAGATTTGTGTGTTATAACCTGCTTTTTATTCATATTGCCTACTCGGGCAGGTCAAAAAAGAATAAAATGGCAATATATTATTTCTTGAAGAAATATATGTAACATATACTGAAATGATTCATATGTTTATTATTTAATAATGAGTCTTAAGTTATGCGAGAGTAAAAGAAAAAAAAAGTAAAATAATGATAGAGAAGGAAGGAATGCAAACAAACGAACAAATTTAGGTAGCACATTTCATTCGAAAAAGATTATTCGATACCTTCATATTTTTAAGCAATCGACAAAACTTAAGTTATTTGTGAAGAGTAAAAGAAAGTTCAAGGAGCAATAAATGTGTTCGACGAGAGCTAGCAATCACTTGTCCTGATATCTAGTCATATCAAAGAATCACTTTCATCAAATCGAAGTAGTTTAAACAAGTTTTCGAACATGCAGGAAACTAGAAATTTGAAAATTTCGTGAAATATTTCTTTTGACATATTATGTTTTGAAAATGCACGAATTTTCATTTATTTAGATACATATTTCAATTTGCTCGAAATCAAATAGACTACTTGTCGAAAACAAAATGAAAACTGCTCACTGATTTGATTAGATATCGACAAAAATTGACCTTGACTATGCATCATAAGTTAAATGAAAGGTAAAGCAGTAACTATTTTATTCACAATAATTGCTTATCATCGCTGATGTGATGATACCATCGCTTAAATGAAAAATTGCATTTGATGGACAATAGTGATTAATTTTGCATTTAAACAAAATAAGAATACGATTTTTATTTTTTACTTTAAAAATCGTTTATTATTATAAAAGAATATTTTTGACGATGCATCACTGTTTAAATATCATGAAGTTAAACATAGTTTAAAGAACAAAAAAGTGTTCCTTAAATAACTGGGATAAAAGATTAAGTTACCCTAATGAATCTGACAAAAGGTTTATGACAATAGTTATAAGGAGATGTAAGGGTTTAGTATTGTACATTTGTTTTTTTTTACTATGAATATTCACACCTATGCTCACCATTTTGTTTGATAGAAGGTGGAGTTAGTTATAAGATCTTTAGAAAATCTCCATCAAGCTTCATAAACTTAAATGTACATACGACCAATCAAAGATCTCTTAGCGTTTCAACTAGAGAATCATAGATGAAACCGATATCAGTAAAGGTTTTATACCACTAGTTTGTCAGTAGACTGCTCGAATGCCGGTAGACTATCTTTTTTTTCAGGAGCTATTAGATACTATTGTCAAGCCTTAACCAGTCAACTTATATAAACAATGATCGAAGGCAATTACCTTTCACTTTGAAATTGTATATACTTTGACCGATTGACCAATTACAGAGATGCAACTAGTACTGTTATTGGTTGTTCGAAATCTAAATCGATTCCATCTATGTAGTGAACCAAACTACGAAATGAAAAATAAAGTGTCCTATTTTGAATCTATTTACCATTAAAACAATAAGTATGCGACTGAAGTATAAAAATCTACTATAATAATAATGCACAATTAAACTGTATCCATGTTTCGATCGAAACTCTACAAAACATTGATGAAACACTTAGCATTTTTCTACAGGATAGGAAAAAACGATAATATCTATACGAAATAATGTATTATCCAAAAAGCAATCTAGAAACAATAGTGAGACTAAATATTTTAATAATTTTATGAAACAGTAAGATTTTTTTGTAAAATAGTAATTTTTGAAGCAAAACGTTGTCCATCATGAGTTTACTATTTCTATTAGTTTTATAGCCACAGAAAATTTCGAGACAGACACAACTTTTAGCGAGATGTTTTTTTTTATTTTCTAAAGACATGTCATTTCAAGACACATTTCATATTTAAGTAATCACATTTTTGTTTTCAATTATAGTAGGTCTATGTCAAATTCAAAGTTCTATCAGCTATTAGTATTTTTTCTAGATCTATTTTTTTTGCAAGAAAAATTCAATTAAAAACTAAATGTTAAACACACAGAGAGGCTACTGTAAAGAGGAGTAAGTTTTTTGGATCACGCCGTACTATCGTGAATAAACTAAGAACCTCATACTCATATGTTTAATATCGGCTCCCACTCTTTCCTTGCATTGACAACGCGTATGAGTTTGTAACCACAACACCATCAATGTCAGTTCTCTTCTATTATAAATATAGGTAAGTGTAATAATAAGGTATGTCAATTTAAAATAAAACAACATTTATCGTAATTAATGAAGAAAGGCTCTTAATACCTCGTAAAAAACTAATAGGCAATGAGTGACAATCATTTTTCAATCAATTACCGATGAAAAATGATCGGCCAGTGACATTCTTTTTTGATTGATACCTGTGTGAGAAATAATTATTACTCATTGCCAATCGATTTCTTGCACGGCACCTTTTTCTTTTTTTTTAGTCAATTCTAATTTATGTCAACCGATAACTGCATATGTCAATCGTGCATATTCGTATACTTTGATAGACTCATTCTTTTCTTTTCACTGAAATATTCACATGGACATTTTGTTGATGATGCATATGGCAACATCTATCCGTTTCAAGCTCATGCTGTTAGGTCACTTGTCTAGCAATATATATGCTTTTGAGAATGTCAGCTAAAAAATTTGTTTTATGTTTTTAATATGCTTACTTTAGGCTAACGTCATAACGGTTCTTATTAATGTATGAGACTAGCAGACTCAAGTTCAACTTCATGCTACGCCGCAATCAATTCAATTATCAATACCAACGACTATCTCTCCTCTAGATATGGTCTCATATTGTTATATCAGCTAGCTGATCGTATCTAGTAAGAGCTGTCTGTCAACATTACGAATTATTATTATATGCGTCTCCATTAGCTAGTAAAATTTAGACTGATTTCCTAACGTAGACTTTAGTAGCATCCGTCAGTATACTAGTAAGGTCTTCAATTATTGAGCATGTCTGATTATTCATGCTTGACAATCTTTTGATTGTCAACTACAAGAAAGGAGTCGATACTAGCAAGTATTTTATATGTGGTCTATTGTTATCATCATTCTCTCTTGCATAACTATATAAAAACCGAAATAATACCATCGTTTGTTTGTGAATAATATGTACAATATTTTATAAAAACAAGAATTCGCAAACAGAAGACAATTCTTGTACTCAGGATTATTCTTTTAATCGATTTCGAAATCGAATTCTAAAGTAATGTCGTTGTTAGAAGTTTTCTTTTCACTAGAATGGAATATACATGCTTTTAACAGATCCCGTCCTATGCAAACGCGCATATTTAGGAATATATAGGCGAAACATCGTTTAGAAACTTACATTCGCGAGCTATGAAGAAAAACAGAAACAGTCTGTAGCTTGGTAACTCTTTGAGAAAATCGAACTTTTCTCGTGGGAATTTTGTCAAAGCCTAATTTTTCAAAGTACAGTTTTCCAAAAATAAATAATTACTCTTAGTTAAGAAAAGAGTGATCAATGTCTAGTGTATTGTACAGCACTGTAATTGACGTGACATAGACTACAAGCAGACTATGAAAGAATAGATCGCTTTTGCTAGAAGAGCAAATCACTTCGCGAAATCGTTGCACGCTCGCGACAGTACAAATAGCATGCAAAAATTGTTTCTCCATGTTTCTGTGTGCTGCAGAAGCATCGACAGTTACAGCATGAAGAACTTCTTATTTCTACTCAGTTTTAATGATTTCCTCTCTAACATCGACAATGTCTATTGTTCATCTGGCGGAAAGCCCGGAAAAGAATTGACATCATTAAACATTTATATGTGAGCACTTTGTTAAGGGTAGCATACGAGGTCGTGGAATTCAATTCGGTTTGTGTCACCCATATTGAAACACTTTGTTGATGTCGCTACAACTACCATAAGATACTTTTCGCCATCCCAACAAATACTGGACCCTTTCCACATTGTCTAGTTATGAAACACATCACATGTATGTGCTCAACACATTGTAGTAACCATATTAGGTCGAAAAAACTGAGGTTAACTGTTTTTTCTACAGAGACAGCATCAAGTAATTTTCAACTGTCGATTTTTACTTAGCTGGCTAGTAGAACATACTAGAGATAATGTTAGAACTTTGATTCTTAATGTTACAAGTGACAGATCAGTAAAAACTAGTACTAACTAGTACATTGCGTCAATATACTGTGAAACCTCGGAATATATCGTGATTCGGATTTTTTGCAAGAAAATTGTCATAGAATGAACCTCATGAATAAACAAAAAATGTCTGCATCGGCATCATGAGACGTCCAATACGTAGGTGATCATTTTAAGTATCTGTGTGACAATGGTTGTTTTTCTTAAATAATAGAAGGTACAATGAAAAAAAAAGTGAACTCAATATGAGTGAACGCATCATGTGAAAAACTTTCTATTTGTATAGAGCATCTCGATTAAATATTCATAAACTTTCTTGTGTTCTCATTCTGACTTAACACAAGAAATACAAGTATGAGCGTCATTTTTATTAGATTTCATTAGGCCAAATTCTTTGCTTAAGAAAAACATGATATATTCAATGAATTACAGGTGTTTAGAAATATTGAATCGAAAATTATGAAATATACAATTCATTTCTTTACATCATTTTTTATTAACAAAATACATATGGTGAATAATGAAGGTCGAACAACACATTCAACAACAACGCAGTTACCATGGTATAGCATGCGAAACCATAGTCTTTCGAGGAGATCATCACGGACTCAAGGGTTCGATAAAATAGGGAGATGCCGTTGCAAAAACATGAACGAAAAGAATTCATCAATCGATTCTGTGTATTTTTGTCCTCTCAAATTCAACTGTCAATTCGTCAGCAGCTAGTTTGTCATTTGCTCTGTCGGATGATACATTGGTGAAATATATTTGAAGTCAAATAAGCGTAAAGTGATATGAGAAAAACAAAGCACTTTCGTTTTGCATTAAGAGAAAAATAGATATTATTTATATTCTGAACAAAATCAGACGTGAACTTCAATAACAGCTACTTTTGATTAAGATCTACAAAAATCATTTGAAAAATATAGAGAGAGTAGAGGTAGACTGGAACGGTTTTCGTTTCGCCAAAAACTTGCAAAAAGAAGAAATAAACGAAAAAAATCGTTTCGATAGATGATTAAATAAAGTTTTGACGAATTGCTGCGAGATAAGTACTACTGTGACAGAATATTACAACTATTACCGTTTTCGATAGCTCTCAAATTTGAAGTCAAGGTTGTACGATTGGATTAGAGTACGAAAAACATCTTTGATAGAGCAGAATATAACAATTCATATCTTGAAAGGACTTCATAAAAAAATTCTTAGTTTCTCAGATGCTCTCATATTATTCTCTACACTAGATATTGATGCCTTAGTGCTGAAATATAAACATAGTGTCCCATTCTCGATTAAGTTTATTGTGCGTCATTATTTACTCTCATTACTTGGTTGAATTGACTGTTCACACGTGATGTTTAACCTTTCCTTGTCATCTCTTCTTAACACAGGCTTTATTATTCTTTCTATTGTAACTCTATATGGTGACCCATCTCGCTCTCCTTGACTCTTCTTTTCTTTTTTCATTTTTCTTATCTCTCCTGGTAGTGTATATAAACGCATGCTTCTTATGTAAACGATATGGTTAATGATACTAAGAATCTAAATGAAGCGTAACTTTATCATCACTATTGACTCTTCTAACTAAAATCGTCAAACATAGTTTTTGCTAGTTCTAAAGATGGGTTTGTATATAAATATTAAATGATAAAAGTTTTCTATCATTAGTGCCTGAATCTTCTCAAAAGAAATGTATGAGGATTAATTAGGAATGTACCACTAGTCAAACACGTATTCCAGAACTTCAAAATAGAATACATGAATTCCTGTCTTATCCAAAAATAAAAATTTCGTACACTAAGATATTCATTTTTTTTATACCATGCGTCGAGTGACATATATTGTTAGACTACTGACTACCCACACATTCCTACTCTATAAAAGAATTCATTTCTTCCAGAACAATAAGATCCGGATACGTTACACTATCTTTTTAGAATGTGCGCGCAGAAATCAACCATCAGCTTGGTTACTAATTGATCAATGTGAAACTACTGCTTACTATTGTTTTTCTCGTACATGAATCACTATTCCATCAGTAATTTATTAGTTGACAGCAAATATTTTCACACGTTTGATAATATTTTCTGCCAGTAATATATTACTAACAACAAATCTTTTCACACGTACGATATTACATGGCATATTACGGCAGAGTAAGAATGTGCTCTAACGTAGATGACATTCTAGTAATTTAGAAAAAAGGCAAAGAGTATTTCATCTTATTGTTCTGTCCTTGAAGAATAGCAGGAAGAAAAAGAATAGGTAAATAAATCATTTGTGCAATTCAGTTGGGTATTGGTTATGATGTATTGAACACAGAAAAATTAAGGTCTATTTCAACTGCTCAATCAGAACATAAACACCAGGAGGTATAGAACTGTAGTAATTATTACCAATCTCTATCATTGCACCAAGAATTGTCATAATTGTGTGCTTTTGATTGATGGTATTTGAAAAAGACCTCTTCAGACTATAATAAGACACGGGAAAAAAGTTCGCGGCATTTTTGCTATCGGTATATCTTTGCAACTACTTGAGGAATTTCAACAAATAAATAGTCATTTTAAAGAGCATTTCAAAGTACACTTATTGTGCAAAAATAAAGGTTCTACCTCAAGAAGTAAGAGCGTCAATAAAGGAAGTTTGTTACATGCGTTTTTGGTTCTCAAAAAACAACAGGTACGACAGATTAAACGGTGGCATTTTGCATATCAACTTTTCATCACTTAATACGTTGTTTAAAAAAAACAAAATATGTCACAAGATGCAGTGTGAAAAGCTCTACAATCTACAAAGTAAAGCTGATTTTAATTGTGCACTTTTTGTTTTCAAAAAAAGCCAAGTTCTGTGCGACTGATTTTCGACGCTGTGAAAAGATCACTTTTTTTCTACACGAATCACTCATTGCATCTTTTCATCACCTAATACATTTTATTAAAAAAACAAAATATACCACAAGATGCAGCATGAAATGCTCTACAATTTATACGAAAGACTTTATTTGCTAAAATCTCTCAAGTAGTTGCAAAGATATATCGATAGGAAAAATGCCGCGAACTTTTTTCCCTTATATTATTTCACTTCGGTTCCTTTTCTCACTGTCCAATGCTTATGCAGGAATGATAAACATTTTTCTCAAATAGAAAATTTTCATAAAATTCATAGTGTTTCGACTTTAACTGTGCCTAGGTGCAGAATACGCTATATATTAATGTCCGATAGAGTGCGATTGAGTAGCACAAGCAGTTGAATAGAACACAAGGTTTTCTTGCCTCTGGAACGAGATTAACTTTCTACCAAAAATCTAGAGTTCTTTTCTTTTATCTGGACCATTGAAGTTCACTTTTGTAGCATCCAGATCCAATGGCGTTACGCTACATTCTTCATAATATATTGCTTGACGACGGATTTTATATTTTTTCTTAGTTCACAGTTTTCTACAAATTCTAGATGTGTATTTTTTTGTATTTACGTATGTGTCGTGTTATGTGAAACGTTTTAATTTCAAGATTTGTTTTGATACTGATAAATATTGAATCACCAATATTGAAGGGCCTGGATTGTTATTCTCGTCACACATAATTCCCATCATTCATAAATTTTTACGGTCCTAAACATATAACCACTTACATTATACTTCATTGTCTTTCAGTCAAGAACTGACTAAATCAATTATTAATGAATGTTACAGATTACTAATAGATAGTAAATATGTCATGGTCACGCTATTTTTGTCTAATCATCTTGATATGTTTTAGATTTCAAAATCAAAATAGTATTCCTTACATTTGAAAAACTGAGAGTTCTGCACAATAAATAACAGCATGAATTGCATCCGTCACATGATCATCGGGCTCTTTATACTCTTCCATATTTATCGTGTGAATTGTGCTTTTATTCCTAATAGAACGGATTACGATGCTTATGGTGTAAAAATAGCTATGAATGAAGATCTTCTTGTACAAGCTCAAAATGCCAAAAATCCACCGACATTTTTTATTCAATTTGCACCTTACAATAATACAGAAAATTCATCCCAATGTTCCATTAACTATTCTGATATGTTAGACACTTATATTTATTGCGTTGCTGTCGGAAAGAAACCGAATCAAAATCAAACACAATTTTTCTTTGCTGGGGAACTGATCAACAGTCGTAATGGAGCATTTATTGGCGTCGCCAAGTACAATCAGACAAATATTGATGCGAATGTGTCAAACTCCTGTGCGTTGAGTTTCTCTTACTCTCTACAGTATCTAATTAATTATGAACATCAAGACTACTATGTCATTGGTGTTGAACCACAAGGTCGTTTTGCCTATGGATTTTCAAATCAGTTTGTCTTTATATTTGATTCTGCAAATGGCTCAACCTTGGAATCATGGAATGGCAACTTAACATGGCCGAATAGCTCTTTTATGCCTCATGCTGTTGATATCAGTAACAATTTCGGCATAATTGCAGGTTTCATTCAAAATGATTCACATGAAAGGGTCAAATATAGTCCAATCATTTATTTACTTAATTTTAATTCATCAAATCGTCATCCAATTGTTGTTGATCAATATATGCCAATAGCTAGTTCTGGTACATGGCAAGATTTATTGAGCAATTCGGATGCGAATATCTATTCAGCAAAGTATGATATGTCAATTAGTATTAATAGTCTTGGTGATGTTTTAGTTGGAATGCAATTTATCAATCGAGTCTTCTTATTTTCAATAAATATTTCCAATCCGATGCAATTGTTTTATATAAGTAGGAATACCAACGGTCGATCATTAGGTAACGGAAAAAGTATAGCCTGGTTAGATAATGGAAATATCGCTGCTATACTTGTCAATACCTATTCACTCAATTATCAGTGGTCGTCATCTCAAATCTCATTCTATGAGATGCAATCAAGTATTTATAATTCCAACAGTACCCCTCTATCAATTTTTCCTAACTATCATCAATTATTGCCATCAATTTTTAGTCCTGTATTTTTAAATATCGTTTCATCATCAACGTCACTAACTCTAATGGATGATAATGGCAAATTATTAATTTTCATCGCTACATCAAAAGGTTTCTATCCATCAATACCAGCAACGGGATCAGTACCACTTATTACATCACCACAGCCTTGTCTGCCTGGTATGTACAAAGATCAAGTCGGCATTAATGATTGTATCCTCTGTCCGACTGGTACAAAAAATCCGGGTAATTCTACTATTAAATGTACTTCATGTGCATCAGATGCATTTTGTCCGCTTGGATCAGTGAGTGAAATATCTCAATCTGCATTGGAAACTATCACACAATTAATTGCCTATCCAAAATCACCTGAAAGTACTATATTCGATGAGGTTTTAATTCAAAATATGTTTCATATCGGATCGGGTCGTTGTCTTTTAGTATCACCTTTATTTTGGACATTAGTCGTAGCTGGTTTAGCTATTCTGATTGTGATAGGTATGAAAATACTGAAATGTTTTATCCGTCATAGAACATATGCACGAACAAAAACTCGAATTCACAGCATATTTAAAAAAACAGATCTAATTGGAGAAGGCGAACTATGGGTCGGTGGTTTGGCATCATTTTCTGTGGTGGTTCTTGTTTGTTTTGCCTATGCATTTAGCAATGCCTATTACAATCAATATCCTATTGAAACATCGACCGATTCCTATTTTGCCTGTGATCTATCGATTCGTAATGCTAAATTTCAAACAAGTCTTCAAACACTAGGTATATCGCCATCCGAAACTGAGAAAAAAATGTTCGATTTGTTAAATGAACAAAGCTTGTCGCTAAATATCGAATTCATCAATACGTTGATTGATTGTGATGTCATATCTATTCAAGCTCTATATGGTACAATCTGGTCGACAATTCGCTGGTCTAATTGTCAAAATAATAATTCCATTCTATTCCTCTCCGTTTCCCTTCCATTTCAACACATATCTGTACAAATCATCCTAGCTGAAGTTCAAACAATCGGTGGTCTACGTATTGGTCTAAGTGGTAATAAACATGAAGAAGAATCATATAAACTCAAAGAATTAAATTTTTACCAATCTTTTTCGAGAAATGGATCTGTTCTAGCACAAACATTACCTGTGTCTCTGGCGCTAACAAAAGTAATCAATGAAACATTGCTGATAGAAGGTGAAGAGTCTCATTTTAGTGGCATCTATATTTCAACCTACACAGTTGATTTAAACAGTTTATTTCTTACACAAGATCAATATATTCGTTCGACGTCACAAGAGATTATATTGATCATTTCGCTGAGTGAAACACCTTACTATGTCAAAAATCAACAACAACCAATAGCCAAACGAGCAGAAATTATATTTCATAATCTTCTATTCACTATAGTTTGTCTGGAAATATTTAGTTTGATTTTCGTATTGCATAAATTGACTTTGAATCCACTTTATCATTTAATCCGTCGAAAGATGTTTCGTCATCATGAGAAGTGTAAAATGAATGACGAAGAGATAAATGGTAACCCAAAATACTCGGATAATCTGTCTAATACCACTGCTGTTAATAAACAGCGTGTGGTACATTTTTTCTAGAACTCGAGCATTCGTCTACATTGAAACTAACAATGAGCTCAAATTTTTTGTCAAAATAATCTTCCGTGTATTCTGTATACTATTTATTTTATTGAATATAATAAACTGAAAATCGGCGTTTTGCGTCAAAATTTCCAATGATCATCATATGAATAGCAGTAATATCACCTTCCAAACAACTTGAAATTAGTTCTTTCGAATCTATGAAAGATCGGATGTTTTACAAGGGAAAGTCTTCAACTGATGCGTCGTTTGTGAGTTTGGACAACGTGCATCATGGAGCTTTTAATGAGCTATGAGTATCCTAAAAACAATTCGAGCTATTAGGTTATTATTGCCGATATACTATATTTTTATGTTATTTGTAGGAAAATGTCATAGTCCTTCTCAAGATCACTGGCTAAATTGAATTTTGAATTTCCACGTGACACATTTGCATAGAAGCAGAGCTTAATGAAACTAGATTTTTATGAAAAGTTCAAATCTTCCATTTGCTCTTATTCTGAAATATGAACATCGAAATCTATTGGTACATGGGAATGACATAAAAAAACATGTGTATACCATAGCTGTATTTTAGGGTAGGAGCAATCAGAATCATTGTGGTCTACCTCTATACAAAGTTTCCAGTTGAAACTCAAAACTCAGTTTTCCTAGTGTTCTTGTGAAGGTCCACGGCGTTTTCTTACAAATAACGTAAAAATATAGTATATCAGCAACAAAAAGCTAACATTTTGAATTTTTTTAAGGATACCCATACAAGATTACGAGCAATATGATGTCTATTGGCCGAATTAAAAAAAAAAGAGATGTATCAGTTGGATATCTACCCTCGTTAAGGAAAAATCTTTTGTAGTTCGGTACCGTTTTCAAAAATTATTGGAAGTTGTTGATCTCTGATGCGAGTTATTGTTTTTAATTCAAAGCATTTATCATCTATAAATTATATTGATCTTTTGAACATTCTATACGATTCACTATACGAATGATTCTAGTGAATATGACGATATGAATCGGTGTCCATGTTGACACTAGTTACACATCATGCATGCACAGCGATATACACTTGCTGCCACTCATATCCAATTCATCGCTGCATTAGAACAAGATAAAGATTGATTTGATTTACAAAAATAATTAATGTCATGTAATTATAATGCAATATATTAAATGCATTTTGATGTATTATAATCCAAATAATGGCAAAGTTGCCCATATATCCATTGGTTCTTAGTGAATTAATCGAAATTTTATTATTATAATACATGACATGCATTAAATAGATTGTATTATAATTACATTACATTCATTATTTATGGACAATAATGCCCACTATTTTATATTATCAACTATATGATTAGTCACCATTATATTTTCCTTCTTTAAATCTTTCTTTTCTATAAGTCAATATTTGAAGTATGACATTCGACACTTTGTTTATTAATATAATCTAAGGATATAAAATAAAATCTATTATCTAGATAGATATGAATAAATTTATATAATCATATTTGTATGTAAATAAATGATCGTGATTAACAAAATTCAATTTTGATTTCAATTTTAGATTAGATTTCTTTCAAGATTGTAATTGATATTTGAAATATTCTAATTAACCTTTTCTTTTTTTTTCTATAGATAAATCTTGTAATTATTGAAAATTTCAACTTAATTGAATTAGTTTTTTTTTTCTCAAAAACTTTCTTAAACTTTAAAAAAAGTATATACAAAAAAGAAAACAAAACTATTTTATTATTTGTTATTTGTTTTTTCGATTCAATCAATGAATAAATTTAAATAAAATATATAATTTATAATTCTTTATTTGAACTATATTAGACCTTAAATATTAGGAACAGGGTTTGCAATGGAAAATCTAAAACAAAATGTATCTGTACACTTTACTTATATAACTAAAGTGTATCCGTACACATTATTTTCATCACTAAAGTGTATCAAAGTGTACGGATACGGAAGTCAATTTTTTTTCAAATATAAAATATAAATTGAAATCGTTTCACAAAAAAATAAGCAAAGAAAAACGCGAGTTTATAGAAAAAACACGTAAACAAGTTTTGTATTGCATAGAGTCGTATCATTATCAGATATCGAGAAAAAAAGAAGGCATATCTAATTAATGATAAGACCCGATCGAAAGATATCACAATTTACTATGGTCTTTTCATTCTATTTGATTTAAAACTTCTTAGCACTTTTAATGCATTAATATGAAAGTGTAAATTTTGTCTGTACAGTGTACGACGTACATTTTGTTTTTCCAACCAAAGTGTAAAACAAAGTGTACATAAAAAAACAGCACATGTTCTGTACATTTGGTTTCTGCTTGGTACACCTGGCTATTGCAAACCCTGATTGATTCTACCATTAATGATGTTCATATGATTCATTGAGAATTAGCAACAACCTCTTTTCATTTTTAATAGAGGTCGTTAATAATAAGAATAAAAAATGTTATATATTAATGTTATTCTTTTCAAACAATATTTTCCTTTTATTTTGATTTAGATTTTTATATTAAAATTCAATGAAAAAAAAAAAAGTTAAATATAAAATTTCTTCAACATGAGTACAATTTATTGATTGATTCTCTTGTACTTGTTGACAAGAAAGGTCATTCATTCTCTAGCATTAGTTTAAAGAGATTAATGTCTTCAAGTTCAGTAATCGATTTTGTTTCATCATCTCCTATTGTAAACGATGAAACATCAAATCAAAGTATTGAAATTCCTGTTCCACCAACAATAAATGTAACACATATTTCAACAAATAATAATAATAATAATAATAATAATAATAATAATCAATCAAATAATTCAGATGATGATTCTGATAGTAATGATGAACCATTGCCTATGAATATAACATTCGATTGGCTTGATGAACAAATGCGTGCTGGTGTTGATTTACGTCCTATTTTATCACGTATGTTACCCGGTTTACCAAATGATGTATCACAATCATCACTTTTTGAACTTCTTATGGATCTTTTTTTACCTGTACAACAGCGACAACCACTTGAACAATATAAAACACTTGATGATGCTGTTGAATTAATTCGTAAATGTAAAAATATTCTTATTCTTACTGGAGCTGGAATTTCTGTCAGTTGCGGAAGTAAGTTATTTGATCTTATCTCTTCTTATGAATTATATTGTTATGTTTTTTCTTTTTTTTTGCTAGTTCCTGATTTTCGTTCTCGTAATGGTATCTATGCACGTTTACGTGAAGAATTTCCTGAATTACCTAATCCTACATCTATGTTTGATATTGAATATTTTACACATGATCCTCGACCATTTTTTCGTTTTGCTAAAGAAATTTGGCCTGGACAATATGAACCATCATTAGCTCATTATTTTATTGCTGAATTAGAACAACGTGAACAATTATTACGTAATTATACACAAAATATTGATTCACTTGAACATTTATGTCCAATAACACGTCTTATTCAATGTCATGGTTCATTTTCAACATCAACATGTCGTCATTGTCATAATCGTGTTAATAGTGATGAAATAAAAAAAGAAATATTACAACAAATTATTCCACATTGTACAAAATGTTCAAAAACAATCAATAATGCAATACTTAAACCAGATATTGTTTTTTTTGGTGAATCATTACCAGAAGATTTTCATAAAACAATATCAACTGATAAAGATAAATGTGATTTACTTATTGTTATGGGTTCAAGTTTAAAAGTAAATTGAAAGAGACAAAAAAAAATTTATTTTACTTCATTTTAAATGATATCTTTCTTTTTTTTTTGTTTGTTTTTATTTAGGTTAAACCCGTTTCACTTGTATCTGAACTTATACCTGCACATATACCACAAATATTAATTAATCGTGAACGTTTACCACATAAATCATTTGATATTGAATTATTAGGAAATTGTGATGTTATTATTAATGAATTATGTCGTCGTTTAGCTAAATATGAACCATCATTTGGAAATATAAAACGATTAAATCATAGAAATAATGAATTTATGAATGAAATTCTATATCATAATATACGTACATCAATGCAAAGACAACAACAAAAGAAAAAAAAACAAAAAATATCTTTTCATACAACAAATGATATATCATTACCAAAAGAACGTTTATCATCTCTTCGACCTCGATTATTTAAACCACCAATAATAACATCATCATCATCATCAACAACATCATCATCAACATCATCACGTAAACGTCCATTTTCATCATTAAAAAATTCATCTTTATTCAATCAAGATTTATCATATATATCTTATCCACCACGACGATATTTATTTGCAGGTGCAGAAATCTATTTTTCATCATCATCAGATGATGGAAGTGATGATGATTTACCTCGAAAACGTACTGAATGAGTTGTCTTTTACGTTCTTATTGTTCTTCTATATATTTATTTCTTTAGTTTCAAACAAATAAAAAAAACACATACAACAGAGAATTCAAACATATATATGAATATATATATATATAAATGGAGATTTTTTTAATAAAAGATACAATATAATTTAATATCTTATATATACACATGCAATATACATTAATGATACAAATTGTTCTATGAAAACTCTCTACTTCGACATATAGATGGTGCAATAATAGACCAAAAATATAAGCCAATACATGCCCACGATGAAGTAATTTTTATCCAAACAGTCGAATCACTTTGACGAAATTCAGAAAAATTATTCGCTGGTTCAAGCCAACTAAGCAATAAAAGAAAAGGATGAATGAGTAAAGTAAGAATGAAATATATTTACTTTGTTAATGTCATCATGATGTAGAACGAAGCAAAGAAAAACATTAAATGAAATAATGAATAATTATAGGCAACTGATTTTTCTTCATCATCATAACTTTTACCACCACCTAATCATTCAAAAATATAATTATGAAGAAAACAAAACAAATACATTTTTTTATTTTTTCTTACTAATTTTAGGGATAGTACTTTTAGTTCCTTCATCACTTGGTATTCCAATTAATTTTCCATTTGATGATTTTGTTGAAGTTATTATACTTAATGAAATTCAAATAATATACTCCTTTTTTTTAAAATTTATTCAACAAGAAGAAAAAAAAAACTTACGCAGAATAAATAATGATCCCAAAAAAAATAATCAATGCTATAATTGATGTCAAATTAACGGAACCATTTCCGGTTGAATTGATAACAGTTGAATTGCTATTAGTAATTATGCTATGCCATGATGGATTGCATATTGGATCTAAATAAATCATTTTTTCAAATAAATTTTCCTTTTTTTTTTAAAAAATACCAGGTTTTTCACTTGTCATAGCTGACCATGTCAAAAATACAACATAAAGTGTAACAAATGATGATTGTAATAAACCTGATGTTGAATTATAATTTTGTACTATG